AATTCCGTCTGCATCCAGATGGCACTCAGTAGTCCAGACATTCTGCAGATGCATGTGAGACAGGTGACACTCAGGCAGGGTTGTGAATCTGGTGAACTGTCCCTTTAAACTTCGAATGAACAGGTTTAGGAGACAAAGAAACAAACAAAAGGAGGTGTGACTTTCACATTGAGAGTTTGTTACAAAATAAATAAAAGTAGGTTTAACAGTTAAACCTTTTAAAGAGGCAGGTGCAGATTTGTAACATGTCCATCTTTGCTTTTTCCTATTCCAAAAAAAAAACCACTGAACCCTTAATATTTATCATCTTATTGCCTCCTAGGAACCGTGCATGTGTCCAGACAGGTTGTTTCTCATCTATAAGGAGTCACACTGTTACTAAAGCTAAATTAAGACAATGCATAGACAAACAGCCAACTAAGAACTCTTCCTCCACAGCAAGGGAGAGAAAAACTAACAACAACAACAAAAAAAAAAAACTGTAAACAACCTTGTAAGAAGGCCCGAGTCAAACCAACAAAGTGAAAGCCAGAAAGCAAATGTCCATCCTCCTAACGTGGCTCCCTAAAGACTGAAGTTATGCTCCGCTTCTGTGAAACTGCGGGTTCACGTGCAGTGAAGACCAACACTGACAAGATTCACCAAGAGTTTGGAAAAATCAGTCAGTCATTTCCTCCCAGAGAGACAAAGCACACTCCCATGCCCACAAGGAACCAGGGCCCCATTCCCAATAATGACTGAGTCCATCTACAAACGGTTTTTCCAAAGCACCACTACACTTGCGAGAGCTTCTCGCTGTCTGTGATGCTGAAGATGATGTTGAATGCACTTTAAAGTAACCTGGTGTACTCAGCTGTCTGAAATCTGCATTTTAAAAACTCACACGTTGAAGGGCTCTTGGGAAACATCTCTTTAGTATCAGTTTAGTGAGATGGATTTTATGACTGTTTTACACTTGGATGTCTTTAGGAAATGGGGACCTGGTTCACAATGGAAAAGAAAACATATAGCTGTATACTCCATCTCCACAGAAGCATAAATGAAATGGTTAAGTGACTGTCTCATGGACGTTGGGCTACATGCAGCTGAGAGAAGTGATGCTCAGTCAGGTACATGCTCACATGTAAAAGGTTGATTACAAACCTAGGTAAGCTCAAATTCCACAGCTGCATAAACATTCACTTGATGTAAAGATTGTCAAGGGCCCACTGTCCACACAGACTGTCCATTAGTGACAGCAGTGTACTGAGACACTGGTACAGATGTAGCATGTTCTTAAATTACAGTACATTCACCCTTTTACACATTAATAGCTGAGCAATCAGTATGCAATTGACACTATCTGTAGTTACAAGTTATTGCGGAGAGCTACCAGTAACCCAGGTAAGTACATGTTAATACATAATGTTTGCCTCTAGAGAGGTAAAAAACAGATTCAACAGATCTCACATTCTACACCATTTTTAAATGGCCTGTGATCTCTTGACCTATTTTGATGTTACAAAGAATATTAACTCTGGAGCAACATGAGCAATGGTTTCACCTCTTTTCCAAACAGAAATGAAAGCTGCTGATGTTGCCACCTTTGGCTCAGGGGTTCTAACACTGCACATAAAGAAGGTCCCTGCACTCCTGAGAAAAGACGTTTTGTGACAGCAGGACAGAGGAGTTGATGTTGAACAACCTGCTGTGTTTAATAAAGGCTGACTTCTACTGGAACCTCTCACTGCAAGCTCACAGCTGTCATTGTGTCATTATGATGTTGTGAAGTCGGCAAATGTTTTCCAGGCCATGCAGATCAATACTGTCGCGCTGCCAAAGGAACGTCCCATATCTGGAAAGTCTTGTGGCAGAACTGTACTGATGAATACTGATGTGAGGCAAACTGTTTTCATGTTGAAGAAATGACTGAGTTTCCTTTCCCCCCAGACTTTACATTGGCCTGTAAGCGCTTCAGATGTAAAAGGAAAAGCAGTGGAAGAGAAGATTTAAACTGAAGATAACAGAGCCTGTGTGAGGAGCTGCTGCACGTCAGCAGACAGGAGGATGATTTGCTCTTTTAAAAGTGAGTGACAGAGCTCTTAAAACACAAGCACTTTCCAGCCACAGTGGACAAAAGAGCAGCCAAAGAAAAGGGAGTCCACCGCCTGGTCCACCAGCCAATCAAACACCACCTCCCGGTTCTCTGAGCCAATGGTCACCCTCAGCTTGAAGTTGCCCCCCTCGCTCAGGTTATTGTTGGTGATGGGGAACAGGTTTACCACCTCCATGTCAAAGGTAACAGCAGAGCCCATGGTGATGGGGGGAAGCTGGTTGGTCATCTCTTTGCCATTCACAAATACAGCACCTGAGAGAGACAACACAGATGTTGGCTGTGTGTAGATCTCTTTATCAGACAGTCTTCAAGTTTAAAGTCACTCGTAAAATGTACAAACATACTGATCAGCACTGAGGATAAGATGCAAAATGTCTTCAGGAATCTAAAACAAATCCCTGACAGAGCACTAGGTATACATGTCCCTCCTAGGTCTCAGTGCTGCTTTTGTTCAAATCTTATTTATCAGAAAGATTCCGGTTTGTTCATGTTTATGAATCTTCCACGCAGACTAAATTTAGTTAACACATTCCACAGGGCTTTGCACTGGCTCCAGTTCTCTTCACTTTATACATGCTCCACTTAGGTAATGTTATGGGAAAACACAGCATAAATTTCCATTGCTACGCAGATGACTCTTATATTTATCTTTGAACCCAGATGAATCAGATCAGTTGGGCAAACTTTAAGCATGTCTTAAAGACATAAAGGCTTGGATGACCTGTAACTTCTTACTTCTAAAATCCAACAAAACCAAAGTTTTTGTACTTGGGCCTGAAAACCTTAGAAATCAGCTGTCTAATCATATAGTTACTCTAGATGACAGAGCCCTGGCCTCCAGTACTGTCGTCTGAGGAACGTCATTTTTGACCAGGATATGTCCTTTAAATCACACATAAACCAAGTCTCTAAAACTACCTTCTTTCACCTGCGCAATATCGCCAAAACCAGGAGCATCCTGTCTCAAAGTGATGCTGAAAAACTGGTAGATGCATTTGTTACTTCCAGGCTGGACTACTGTAACTCTTTACTATCAGGATGTCCCAGTAATTCCCTAAAAAGCCTCGAGCCTCACTGTCGGCTTAGTCAAGTTTTATATCAGTAAATGTGCACATTGTGCAGCCGAACAAAGTTACACTTTATGTATAAAAATAAATAGAGTATGGTGTAAAGTTTTACACACAGGCACAGGAAATAAAGGCTTCCCATCACATAAACCAGTCTGACAGGGGAAAAACCAACACCTCACACATGCTTGGCTTCAGCATACCGTTGGTGGAGATGCAAACGGCCTGGTCTCTCTGGAGTGACTGTGCCTCTCTCTCACTGTCCACACACACACCCAGACTGTCCCTCCGATCTGTTGGACCTGCTGCAGAAATCCTACAAACACACATACACAAAATATAACACTAAGTGCATTGCTCTAAACTGATTTACACATGGAGTCAGGGGGAAAAAAGAAGTATTACATATCTATGTTCATGTGTATTTATTCTGCCTGTTTGTTTGTGTGTGTGCGTACTTAAAGGTCAGTGTCTGGCCACAGAAGTAGGTGGGTGCGTTGGAGTAGAGGATGGGGCAGGCCGATTGGGAGGAGTCATTGCGCAGGGCGATGTTTCTCCTGCTGCTCAGAATGTAACCCTCAGTGCCTGGACACCACTCTGTCATAACGAAAGATCAACACACATCAACTACTGCAATGTTTGGAAGTTAACCTGTATTTGTGTCACAATTTTAGATTTTGACATTCTAACTATAAAACAGGTATTGACACATCCCTCCTCCCTTTCTGAGGAGTCTGTGTGCAGGTATTTAACTACTGTACATGGTGTGCACTCACTATACGAGTGCTTTCTGTCTCTTTTGTGTTATGTCCGTCTACTCCTGCCATTCTAGATTGAAAAAAAAAAGTCATACAGTGATGGAAACGTGACAAACAAGTTTTTGGACCTTTCAGTTGATGCTGTATGTTTCGACGTGCATCAACCTGCAACGATGTTTGTGTGTCACCTTAGAAAGAAAACAATGGCTGTGGGTGTGTTCGTGCAGAGTTTGGAAAAAGGAATTCTTTGTCAGTGTTTTATCCTTTTTCCTTTTGTT